TTTCTTTCTTTCTTTCTTTCTTTCTTTCTTTCTTTCTTTCTTTCTTTTTGAAGTAGATTGGTGCTGTCAGGAGCGTTCATGAAGAGCCTTGTTATAACATTTTAAATGCATATTCTGTAGGTCTTCAAAGTTTTTGAAGATCATCCTATCTAAAATATATCTCTGTGTGGTCTTGAAAACATATCTAACATGACTATAAGTTTGATTGTTATAGATGAGTAACTATTATTTATTATTAAATAATAGTTTAATAATAACTATACTTATTTATTATTTTAAATAGCTTTTAAAGCTAAAACTTTACATTTTATAATGAGCTGCATAGGCACAATACCTTAAACAAGAAACAATATACAGCATAACAAAATAAATTTTATACCAGTGTAAAATATTTGAGACAAGTAGTTGTTCAAAAATAGACTCAGCAATCTACCATTTTATCCCATCACTTTTATATTATATCCCCACTTTTTCCTTTTAGAAATAGATCCTTGAATCTAATAAAATTTTTGTTTAGCTTTCTCCCTGACCGTAACCAGTAACAATTTGTAACCAATACTCCTAAGCAATGACAAACATCCATAACCCACCAAATGATCAATAATCATTCACCTCATCTTGCGGTATGTGGGTACTGGGTTTTCTAAACTGCTTCATGTTGTCTGGGGGTGCTGGCATGTTTTGGGGACCCAGAGATAATTAGGATAATGGTCAAGTCCTGGCTAGAATAGTCTGTGAGACTGGGCCATTTCAGACAACTGCCTTGGAGCTGTGCTGGCTGCAGAACTCTGAGGAGACTGCACCAGAGGCGTCTGAGCGCTGGATCACCTGCCACTCATTTTCACTGGTGTCTGGTCCCCTTGCTGGGTTTTTTTCCCCCCATATCTGAACAGGTAAATATGCCACCTGTCTTGTAGTTCTCTAGGTTTGTTTCTTTATGTCTGTAGTCAGGATTTCCAGGTCTCCCCGATCAAATCCAATCTCTATCAACCTTGAAGGAATCCACAGCCTTTTGTTTTCTGCGGAGACAAAAGCATAACCTCTTCCCAATGTAACATTTTTTTAACTACCACTTTGAAGTTAAGGTATTTGTAAAATATGTAGGTTGATTTAATTTAGTGGCTTTATAACTCAGTGTCTCAGCAGCTGTTATTTGCTCATCGGCAACAATCAGAAAGGTTGAAGTCAGCAAACCACCACCCAGACCCAGACCCCTGTGCATTTCCATCTACACGACTTCCTCCTTTTCTCTTCTAAACAGTTTACTCTTTCTATGACTGTCTACACCCATTTTCTTTTCTTTCTTAAGTCTAGGCACATTTTTAAACACACCGTACTGTTTAGAGTTTTTCCCCCAGTCTAGATTTGTTTGTTTGGTTTTTTTTTGCATATTTGTCACCTTTTCTGTCTGCATGAGCAAAATCTTAAACCACTGTGCACCCCAACTCAGGGTGTGTGGCAGCTCAAGCCCTCAGGCAATGGCTGGAAGACACATCCGTGTAACATGGCCCTTAGGAGAGAATGGGACTAGAAGCCACATTTGTCTCCACTTTGGTGTGTTTTAAAGAGGGAAGTTTGGGAATTGTGTTATCTTTTATTAATATCAAAATCCATGCACAGTGATTACAAGACAGAATGAGGAATCCAGCCTGTGTCGCCAGCTGCTCTGCGGTTCCCACTGGGGAACCAGCTCACTGCTGCTGCTCTACAACCCCGTTCCCAAGGCAATGGGGAAGCTCCAAGCTGCAGCTTGCTGTCAACTCACCCACCATCCAAGAGAGCATGTGACCATTTGCCCCTATTTCTTATTGGGTCACGCATCCCTAGAGACGACCACACCCATTCGGCCGAGCTGCTCCAATACAATTGTCTACCAGACTGAATTCTCAAAACAGTATTTGGAACTTTTTAAAAGCATTCTCAGATCTTATGTGAAAATGCATGCCCTCCCCCCCCCCCATCGGAAGCCACACATAGGAGATTTTTCTGTCCCACCAGCCAGCTCTCAAGACTTGTTAATTATGAAAGCTTGGCAAATAGCTTAGTCTTGTTTCTAACTAGCTTTTATATTAAGTCAACATAGCTTTATCATCTCCATAGATCCTATCCCGCTCACTCTGCATCTCCTTGAGACTCCATCTTCTTCCCAGCATCCTCTCTGTCCCCCAAATCCTGCCTAGTTATCAGCCATTTAGCTTTTTATTTAATCACAGTGACATATCCTCACACAGTGTAAAGGAATATTCCACCACAACAAAAGACACCCCAAAACTGGGTTGGAGAAATGGCTTACTTAGTTGGCGAGGCTTGACATGCAAGCATGAGGGCCTGAGCTCAGATCCTCTTACAAAGCCGAGAGGGTTTGCAACCCTAACACGGGGCGGGTAGGACAGAGGCGGATTCCTGAAGCTCACTGGCCAGCCTCAAGTAGTGAGTCCCAATTCATAGATAAACCCAGTCTCAAAAAGTAAGGTGAAGTCACTCAACATCAGCCTCTTTCCCTGACCCCTGAACACCTACACCAAACACACACACAATGGCACTATATATTGAATAACGAAAATAAAACAAATACTCATATTTTATAATGTGCATTTAACTGATAATACATCCAAAATGAAAATGAAATGTGGGATAAAATGCCACAAAATACCATAAAAATATTAAGGCCTAACTTGAAGCAAATGGTAGTTGTTAGTCTAAATATAATGATGTAGTGAATTGAACCTAGGGACACTGAACTGGATCTACAGTTCAATATGGTGATGTCTACTTTTAAAAGATGTTTTTCTCTATGCTTAATTTTGGGGGAGGGTGGCAACGGGTGTCATGGTGTTCTTGTGAACTCAGAGAATTGAGTCAGTTGATCCCAGTTGAGTTGTCTCACCAGCTGGGGATTCGTTTTTTGGTTTTCCAGGCAGGGTTTCTCTGTGTCACAGCTCTGGCTGTCCTGGAAACTTGCTTTGTAAGCCAGTCTGGCCTGGACCTCAGAGAGCTGCCTGCCTCTGCCTCCTGAGTGCTGGAATTAAAGGCGAGCACCTGACCTTGCCCAGCCTAGAGTGTTGAAGGGCAAGAAGAGCTGATAATTTGTTAATAGAACGAAAAGCCTATTTCAGAAAAGTCAATGCATAGTAGCTTTTCATGAAAGAGGAAGATGAAATGCACAATCATTCAAAGAAAGATGGCCCTATCAGGTCGTTATGTCTAAGGGTAAGACTGTTACATAAGAGACTATAAGCCTAATTATGAGAAACGGCTGAATGTTTTCTTATATTCTGTATTTGTTTCTTTGGTATCTGTTGTCACAGTACCAAACTAACAGCTGAACATGGGGTGATTGTGGTGCACACCTTTAATCCCAGCACTTAGGAGGCAGAGGCAGGTGAGGTATCTTGAATTTGGGGCCAGCCTGGTCTATGTAGTGAGTTCCAGGACAGCCAAGGCTATACAGAGAAACCCTGTCTCGAAAAACCAAATAAATAAACAAATAGCTAAAGCGGTTTACATCTTCCAGCCAGGCAGCTTTTGTAACTCCAAAGAAACCATCAGGTACCCTCTAGCCCAAACCCCACGGGTTTCATCTCTTGCTGGCTACCACCCACCACTGTCTCACTACAAAGGCTCTGGTCTCTGCTTCTTCTTCCCTTTGCCTTCTTCTCGCCAGAATTATCCCAAGTTTTTGAGATGAACCGTTCCAATGGTAGTTTAAAAATAACGTCTTAACATTGTTAAAATAACATCCTTGGATTTTCTTTTAATGTATAATGTGGATTTTTTTCCTATTTAACATGTTTGGAATCTTAAAGATCTTCTTAATTTTTAACGTTTTGCCTGAATATATGTCTGTGGCATCTGTGTGCCTGGTTCTATGGAAGGCAGAAGAGGGAATCAGAACTCCTGGAACTAGAGTTAGATTAAGAGCCACCATGTGGGTGCTAAGATCTAATCTGGGTCTTCTGAAGAGCTGCCAGTGCTTTCAACCACTGAGCCATTTCTCTAGTCCCTAGCTTTTTCTCTTAACAGCAGTGTTCCAATGGGTGCACAAGAAATTAAAGATAGCGAGGCATGGTAGTAGATGCCTTTAATTCTGGCCCTTGGGAGACAGAGTCAGGCATATCTTCGAGTGGAAGCCCAACCTGGTCTGCAAAGCAAGTTCCAGACCAGTCAGGGCCATATGAAGAGATCTGGTCTCCAAAAACAAAACAAAGTTTAAAATGGTCTTGATAAAATGTTCCTCAAATCTATAATCGTTAAATTTAATTCAAGCTTTAAGAACAACCTTAAGATGATTGTATGCTTTCAGACTAGACTGAAGGAGGATGGTGGAAAGACTGCAAAACTGTTGATTGCCATTTGACAGGAACTCGGTGCTGTTCCACTGGTACTGCCCTTGCCTGGGAGGCCCTGGATTCAAGCCCAGCACTGAAACAAAAGGTAGAAAGATGCTTGTAAGGTTAGGAAGCCAATGTACCAGTAATGTGTAACTTGTAACAACAGGTTCCTTGTTAAAACAGAACAGTGAACTGATTTGTTACTAGTTTGTATTTCTTTTTTTTCTTTCTTTCTCTCTCTCTCTCTCTCTCTCTCTCTCTCTCTCTCTCTCTCTGTCTCTCTCTCTCTCTCTCTTTGAGACAGGGTTACAGGGTTTCTCTGTAGTTTGGGGGTCATCCTGGAACTAGCTCTTATAGACCAGGCTGGCCTTGAACTCACAGAGATCCGCCTGCCTCTGCCTCCAGAGTGCTGGGATTAAGGGCATGTGTTACCACTGTCCTGTTTTGGATTTCTTAAGAATAAACTTCTGGGGCTGGAGAGATGGCTCAGTGGTTAATATCACTGACTGCTCTTCCGAAGGACCCAGGTACGATTTCCAGCACCCACACAGCTTTCTGTAACTCCATTCTGGGGATCTGACACCTTCACGCAGACATACATGCAGGCAAAACACCAATGCACATAAAATAAAAATAAACCTTAATAAAAATACTTTATAAAAGAAGAATAAACAAGTTTCTTTTGTACACCGATTTCCATACCTATAAAAGTAAAGGAAATAAGAGAACGTATGTTAGAGTTGTTAATAGGGTTAGATGAACAATAGCTTATACAATAAACACTTTTTTCAAGTAATAGTGAAATCACTTTTTTCATAGCAATAGTGGTTGCTATGATTGACATTTTGCATTGATTTCTTTGGACTTATTCATAATGTTATTTAGTGCCCCTAGAACAGGGTAGGTACTTAATACTTTTTAAAAAATATTTATTTATTATGTATACAATATTCTGTCTGTGTGTATGCCTGCACGCCGGAAGAGGGCACCAGACTCCATTACAGATGGTTGTGAGCCACCATGTGGTTGCTGGGAATTGAACTCAGGACCTTTGGAAGACCAGGCAATGTTCTTAACCTCTGAACCCTCTCTCCAGTCCGGTACTTAATACTTTTAATCCATCACAAATACTTTAAAACTTCTCCGGTAGTCATACAGTGCAATGCATACCTGAGGGCAACTTGGCACCAGAGGCTTTCGGGTCGAGGCCTGAGATGACTGGCTTCCTATGGCCACGTGGCACTCGCTCCTGGTTTTCTCTGCCTGTCATTCTTCTTAGCCTGAAGGCGAAAGAGCTGCAGGGCGAACGAACTCGCCAGCTTTAGCTGCACATGCTTGCCGCTGCCGTCCGGGGGCGCCCAAGCTGCTGGGTGTCGTGAAAGTGTCGTGAAAGCGGCCTTCCTTGACGGTTCCGGGCCACCTGTAATAAGCGGGACGTGCTGGAGTGTGGAAATTAGTATGGAGACATCCTTGCGGCTTGGGCATTGCCGCGTTCCCGTGGAGAAGCAGGCGGCCGTCGCCTGGGACTGCTGAGTTCTCGACTTGGACTGCACGGCGGCCGCAAGGCCATGCTGGCTTGGCGCGTGGC